AGTGATACTGCCTCGGAAACCCAAGGAGGGGTTGCTATGAGTCAGGGCTGACTAGACAGCACATAACAACAACAACAACAGCATCTCTTTTTGTAGCTCTTGATGACATGCCAGATGAAAATCTCATACATGGGAATCAAGATTCAGTGTCAAAATCCCAAATACAAGTACATAAGCAAAGCATTTCCAATGAAGAAAAACTCAAACATAAGTATAAAAATTATTGATAGCTGAAAATATCTTAAGCTTCTCAGAAGATCTTTTTTTTCTCCCTGAATATTTGTTTAGGCATATATTTTATAGAAATTTTGTACTTTGACCTAAAGTGTGAATAGCCTTTATGGGCTCTCTACCAAGGAATTCATGTCAGGTAATGAATGGGTCATGAGGGCTAGGATAGTTGGCCACCCTATAGTCAATGTGGCCCCTAACATGTACATATAAGTGCTATTCCCTCTGACTCTCGGAAGTATTAAAACTGATACATTTTGGTTAGACTTACTTGTCATAAGACTATTTCGTGGCTATGGGTCTTGTGCTTAGATCCACCTAGGCCCAATAACAGGCTAATTACTTTCTCTTAGAAAGTGTACTTTCAACTAACTGGCCTAAACTAACAGATCTAAAAGATCAATGGGCACTTCTCACCTGTAGCATTGTTCTTCTTTCATGGGCTATAATTAGTGAATTACAAGGCTGCTGAGACCTGTATCTCAAATAACAAATATGGATCAGTGAGGACCAGTGTAAGGGCAGACTGCGTTACTCATTGTAGGGTCTCCACAAGATCCTGTTAGTTAGTGTTCCAGTGAAAGGTAGCAGCATTTCTGATAACCCAGTAGATGGATATCATCAAAACCCCCACATGATAAATGTTAAAGCACCCTTAGCAAACAGTCCCCAACCTCTGAGTCCCTCTTTATTTGTTGGACAGACAGAGCAATCATCTCCTCCACAATGAGATATTCTGAATCATGCTCAGGGCCACTTAGTTACTAGGTTCTTGTACCTTGTCTGAATTAATGACCGAGCCATGTTGCTACTATATGTGTGTCATCATATGCTCAATCTTTGTTGGTTGGTAACCTTGTCTGAGCACACCAGGAGGATGTCATCCATAGAGTAGAAAGCTCTCTTTAGGAGTGAGACTTTTCCCAGGTCATGGCTTTCAAAGATAGCTTTTAAAGATATCCATCAAAATTGTCCTTACACTTTTTGTGTCAAACCTTGCATATGACAATTTTCTTATAACTATAAAGTGAGAGAAAATTACCATACACTTCTACAATTGCTGTACACTTGCTTTAAATTAGAGATATTAAAATTTCTGAATAGATCTATTTTTCTATTTAGTCAACTAACTGCATCTCTGATGCATCTCAGATGACAGTGGGGAATTTAGGTAACCTGTGGAAGGACATTTAAGGTGAGTTGTAACTCATTCCACATAATGGCAAACTGATCTTTATTATCCAGATAGACAGGTAGCTGGACAAATGTATTTGCGGTATCATTTGCTGCATATCAAGTTTACTTATCTTGGTTAATAGCCTCTGTGACAGCCACAATGTCAAATACTACCTGCCAGTGGTAACAGTATAGCATTGATCACCTATAATCAATGGTGAGTTGTCAGGTATATCAGGTCTTGTGAACAGATTGAACAAAGCTATTGAGTGCAGAAGTAATCTTATAGGAAACTTTGGCTTCTTTAACATCAGCAATGAGGGTAGTTATTTGTTTTCCTCCCCTAGGCAATTGATGTTGCTTTGAGGAAACAACAGGTGTAAGTGCAGGTAGTCAGGTAGCTTCAAAGTCTGTCAAAGGTTCCACTAAAATGACCCTAACAGCAACAATTCCTGTCAGGGCTAGGAAGTTATACCAATAATACATTTAGTAGTGGGTATCAGAACAGTGGAGGCTTGAAGGAATTCTAAGAGTCCCTCTCATAGTGTGGCCTGGGTAGGGATCTGGGTGTTGGTGGCTCAGACCCAGAGAGCATCATCTGTTACCACTCTTTAATCTGGGCTAGGGGTGCAGGTGTCACATTTTTTTTTTTTTTTTTTTTTTGCATCAATATCAAAAAAGCCCAAGAAATGCATTTTTTCCCCACTTCTTTGATGAACTCAGATTTTGTCAATTGTCTCTGCTCTCCTCACCTTAGTTAGTTAGTTAGTTTGTTTTTTGAAAGTCAGGAGTTTGGGGTAAAAGTTTATAGGCCTCTGATTCATTTATGGTTCATTGGGGAGGGACAGAGGGAATAGTTTTTTTGGTTGTAACCCTTATGGGAGCAGATAGCCAGGTTTTTCTTCTGTGAAGCTCTGGGTGGCTTTGAATTCCCAACCTTTCAGTTAGCAGCCAAGTATTTAACCATTGCACCACTAGGGCTTCTTCCTGAACCTGTGAGGAGGTTTAACTGAGCTCAATAATCAGCATGAGCAGCACATGAAAACCTACAAATGAGAGTCTGGTTAACATCATCTACAGTTTCTCTTCCTTCGCTGTAGAACAAAGTGGATTGCAGGGCCAGAATAGTCATAAGCAAGGGCAGTCCCAACATGTTTTTCAGTGTCAAGGAATTCATCAGAGGTGGGCCAAACCTATGAGGTAGAGCCCAAATAGGACCCAGATGAGGAAGCATAGGGCGTCAGATGTCTCTGTCCCTCCTTTCTTCTCCTCTTCTTCCTCCTTCCTCCTCCTCCTACTGAGAAAAAGTGGTCACTGTCAGGGCACTTTGAAGTAGGGGTTCTGTAATGATAAGCCCATAAGGTATTTCTCCCTCTCACTAAATTTAGGAAGATCATCTCCATTGTGGAGGCAAAGTAACTAATTCTCTAAGTTCTCTTTGAATTGCTGGGAGATGCTGTTACAAAGGGTTCTATATTCTTTTTCATTAAAGACATGAGTCTCAATAACTGACTTCATCAAAGGCTGTCTGTCAGTGCCAGGAACCTGTTTAGAATGAACAGTAATCATTTAATGTAAATCATCTCACAGGGTCTCAGATGAAGTTTGATTCCTTTGCAGAGGACCTTAAGCAGCAGACAAGTAAGTAACTGCTTTTCTAACTCTCATAGCACTCCTCTGTTTTTATCTGTAATTTGATCAGTGGGAAGGACTTGGCCAGGAGTTGGAGGCTAAAGGAAACACCAGTGTTCACACTTAGGACAGAAGAACTTATACAAGCAATCTGTTAGCACTTTTTAGAGTACCACACCCAAAAGTAACATTAACAGCACCGTTAGCTAGCATGGCTGAGAAGTGTACTGTGGGACCCTCAGAATCTTGCAAATGATGTATTAGCCCCTCTAAGAGTGCCCACAGCTTGGGACCAGAGTCGCAGGGAACATCAAGCTCAATTGGCATAACATACTATATAAAACATTGTTCCACTTCCTACTTTGGCGAGTAGTGCCTGGGATCTTAAAAGCTAGCAAGCTGCCATCTAGATGCAATGATGGGTCAAGAGCAAAGAAGAAAGAAGAAAACCAAAATTAATGGAAACAATCAGTCCTAGTGACTGGTACACCATCCGATCTGCAACCTATACAACTGTGAGACCAGAAGAACTAGATGGTGCCCGGCTACCACTGTCATCCACTTGGAAGGGATGTAGGAGATCCTGGATAGAGAGGGAGAAGAATGTGGAACAAAATTCAAAATCATTTGGAGGGAGAAAAAAAAAAAAAAAAAGAGAAGGTGAGGACCAGGTTTGCTGGTCCAATAGATCCTGGTGGAACCACTGAGACTATGGCCCCTAGCTGCCCTTCAGGTCTGGAATTGAACCCACACCTGTGGTTGCCAGCCAAACAATGTACAGGCATGTGAGTTAAACATTTACCTCAAGTAGACACACACCCTAGAGAGAACAATCATGGGAGAAGGAAGGGCTGTTTATGCACAGGGAGACAGCTCAGGGCGCAGAGGAGTATGGAGGGATGGTCACTGGGAAGGGGTAACTATGGGGAGGAAGTGGGAGGGGAGCTGTTGCATTGTGGTAAACTGTGGTCAATGACCTGAGACAAAGTATATGTGAACTGCTGTATGGAAAGTGAATTTGCTCTGTAAATCTTCACCCAAATAAAAATAAATAAATTTAAAAAAAAAAAAAAGGGTGCCCACAGACTCTTCTAACCCAAACCAAACTCATTGTCATTGAGTGGATTCCAACTCATAGCTACTCCCATTGGGTTACAGACTCTTCAAGCAACTTCTAAAAGGTTAAATGGCATTTTCAGGATTTGGGTTTTTAAGAAAGTTATTTTGCTTAATTGACCACCATGCTTATTTTGCCAGTTTGTCAGAGAGAATTGCCAGGTAGCCAGTGGTCAATTAAGATAATGAAGGAAACAGAAGGCAACAAGGCTTTTTTCTAAACAAGAGAGTGCCACTTACTACAATGCTCAGTTTTTCTCCATGGATTGGCACCAGGCCAACAGACATATTAGTGCAGACAAGTGGATCATGTCACTGCCAGTGGATGCAAAAGTGCTGAATATTGAGTCAGAGTGAGAAAAGTATCTTCTAGGTCCTTCAATAACTTGATCTTTGTAGAGGAACATGAACACTGTCTCAGCCAAGGGCCCTCATCCTCATAAGGAGGTGTCCTACTGGAGGTTCCTGGGCTAGCAATAAAGATATGTATAAGAGTTTGACTGGCTTTGGAGAGCCTGAGTCCTTGACTGCAACTCCCTCCAGAGACTGTTATGCAGTGAATTTTCAACAAGTTTCTTATGGGGAGGGAAGCTCTCCCTCATAGGTCCACCAGGTAAAAACTTTGTAATTGCCTTTAGTTGGATCTAAAAGATCATAAATAAATAAAATTTTAAGTTAGAATGAAGCTCCTCAGTGTATACACACACACACACACACACACATATACATATGTATATACATTCATGGGGAGGTCTGGTGGCGTAGTGCCTAAGGCATTTGACTGCTAAACAGAAGGTTGGCGGTTCAAAACCATGAGCCACTCCTCGGAAGGAAGGTTGGGCAATCTACTTCCATACTGATACCACCTCAGAAATCTAAGGAGGGGTCACTATGAGTCACATCTGATGTGTTAAAATAGTAAAAATACTAAGTATTTTTTCCACAAATAACACACCCCTATATGAGGTGTGTTGAGGGAGTTACCCAATTAACAACAAACATATAACATGCTCTTTATTTGCATAAAAATAGAGTACTAACCTAAAGTATAAATAACCTAAGAAAACTAGAGACTAATATAAAATACATTTTTTTTTTGTCTAGAAATAGTGATGAAATAATGGGATAGCTTTAATATCCATCCATTAAAACTGTTCTCACAATTTTCATATGAGATGTAGCATGTAGTACTTATAACTTTATAAAAATGAAAGTAAATGCTGTCATACATTTCTAATAAAATTGCAAGCTAGAGATTTCACACTAGATCTGCTTTTTTATTTAGTGGACTTACTGTATCTCTTTATGTAGCTCTTGATGAACCACCAAAAGGAAATATTATGCCTCAGCATGAAGATTCAGTATTAAAAACCCAAATGAAAGTGAAGAAACAAAGTATTTCTGGAGAGGAAAAACCCAATAGTAAGTATAATAATTATAGATATCTGAAATAATTTGAATTAAATTTGTTGGATGATCTCTTTTCTATGCTTCATGGATGAATTTTAACATTTTTAAAAATAAAAACCTAAAAAGATTTCACAATTCATTTACTATATTTATGAATTACTTGGACAGTGCTTTGTTTTTTCTTATTCAGTAGGCTCATTTGTTTACATTTGCTTTCAGTTTTAGTTCTTTATTCTTTTCCATGTTGATTATAGTGAGTTTGGTTTGGAGTTTTTGGTATACATGCATAAATATCTTTTACAAATAATGTATTCTCACTGACACTTTCAATTCCAGTCTATCCCCAAATGGTTCATTCATGCCTTGCTCCATCTTTCCTATAAAATATGAATCAACATCAACAAATATGTTCATTTTTTCCATCCTATAGAGCTTCTAAACTTGTTTCAGAATTGCTTAGCTCATGCCACTACAAAAACAAACCTTAAAAGATTTCATGATTCATTTACTATACTTATGAATTACTTGGACAGTGCTTTGTTTTTTCTTCTTCAGTAGGTTCATTTGTTTACATTTGCAAATTGAGGAGAAACAGCTGCAAATATCCATTAATAATCAGAACATGGAATGTACATAGCATGAATCTAGGAAAATTGGAAGTTATCAAAAATGAAATGGTGTGCATAAAAATTGATATCCTTAGCATTAGGGAGCTGAAATGGACTGGTTTTGGCCATTTTGAATCAGAACACCATGGGGTCTACTATGCCAGGAATGACAATTTGAAGAGGAATGGCGTGACATTCATCATCACAAAGGATGTTTCAAAATCTGCTCTGAAGTACAATGCTGTCAGTGATAGGATAATATCCATACACCTACAAGGAAGACCAGTTAATATGACTATTATTCAAATTTATGCACCAACTACCAAAGCCAAAGATGAGGAAATTGAAGATTTTTATCAGCTTCTGCAGTCTGAAGTTGACCGAACATGCATTCAAGATGTGTTAATCATCACTGGTGAGTGGAGTGCAAAAGTTGTAAACAAAGAATCACCAGTAGTTGGAATATTTGGCCTTGGTGACAGAAATGATGCTGGAAATCGCATGATAGAATTTTGCAAGACCAACGACTTATTCAATGTAAATACCTTTTTCAACAACATAAAGGGCAACTGTATACCTGGACTTCAGCAGATGGAGTACACAGGAATCAGATTGACTACATCTGGGGCAAGAGGCAATGGAAAAGCTCAGTATCTTCAGCCAAAACAAGGCCAGGAGCTGTTTGTGGAACAGACCATCAACTTCTCATATGCAAGTTCAACTTGAAGTTGAAGACAGTTAAAACACGTCCACAAGAACCAAAACATGATCTTAAATACATCACTCCTGAATTTAGAGACCATCTAAAGAATAGATTTGATGCATTGAACACCAATGACTAAAAACCAGAAGAATTGTGGGATGACATCAAGAATATCATCCATGAAGAAAGCAAGAGGTCACTAAGAACACAAGAAAAGAAGAGAAGAACAAAATGGATGACAGAGGAGACTCTGAAACTTGCCCTTGAGCAGAGAGTGGCTAAAGCAAATGGAGGAAATGACAAGATAAAAGAACTGAACAGAAGATTTCAAAGAGCAGGTTGAGCAGACAAAGCCAGTTACTATAATGAAATGTACAAAGACCTGGACTTAGAAAACCAAAAGAGAATATGTTCAGCATTTCTCAAGCTGAAAAAATTAAGGTTAAAATTTAAGCCTTGAGTTGCAATATTGAAAGATTCTATGAGCAAAATATTGAATGATGCAGGAAACATCAAAAGAAGATGGAAGGAATATAGAGTCACTGGACCAAAAAGAACTGATCGATCTTCATCCATTTCAGTTGTCATATGATCAAGAACTAATGATACTGAAGGAAGAAGTTGAAGTGGCATTGAGGGAATTGGTGAAGAAAAAGGCTCCAGGAATTGACAGAATACCCATTGAGATATTTCAACATATAGATGCCCCACTGGAGGCACTCATTCAGTTATGCCAAGAGATTTGAAGACAGCTACCTGGCCAACTGCCTGGAAGAGATCCATATTTGTGCCCATTCCAAAGAAAAGTGATCCCACAGAATGTGGAAATTATCAAACAATATTATTAATATCGCAAACAAGTAAAATCTTACTGAAGATAATTAAAAAATGGTTGCTGCAGTATATTCACAGAGAACTTCCAGAGGTGCAAGATGGATTCAGAAGAGGACGTGAAATAAGGGATATCATTGTTGCTGTCAGAGGGATCCTGGCTCAAAGCAAAGAATACCAGAAAGATGTTTACTTGTGTTTTATTGACTACGCAAAGGCATTTGATTGTGTAGGTCAAAGCATTTGATTGTGGATGACATTGAGAAGAATGGGAATTCCAGAACACTTGATTGTGCTAATGAGGAACCTGTACATTGACCAGGAGGCTGTTGTTGTAAGAGAACAAGGGGACACTGCATGGTTTAAAATCAAAAAGGGAGTGCGTCAGGGTTGTATTCTTCCCCATACTTATTCAATCTGTATGCCACGCAGATAATCTGAGAGGCTGGACTATATGAAGAAGAATGTGGCATCAACGTTGTTGGAAGAATCATTAACAACCTGCGACACAACTTTGCTTGCTGAAAGTGAAGATGACTTAAGGCACTTACTGATGAAGATTGAAGAATACAGTCTGCAGTATGGATTACATCTCAATATAAAGAAAACAAAAATCCTCACAACTGGACCTATAAACAGTATCATGATAAATGGAGAAAAGATTTAGGTTGTCAAAGACTTCACATTGCTGGGTTCTACAATCGACACCAATGGAAGCAGCAGTCAGGACATTAGATGACGTATAGTACTGGGCAAGTCGGCTGCAAGGGACCTCTTTCAAGTGCTGAGGAGCAAGGATGTCTCCTTTAGGACTAAGGTGCACCTGACACAAGCCATGGTATTTTTAATCGCCTCATATGCATGTGAGAGCTGGACAATGAATAAGGAAGACCAAAGAAGAATTGGTGCTTTTGAGTTGTGGTGCTGGTGAAGAATGCTGAAAGTACCATGGACTGCCAAAAGAACTAACATCTGTCTCAGAGGAAGTGTAGCTGGAATGCTCCTTTGAAGCAAGAATGGCCAGACTTCATCTTACCTATTTTGGTCATGTTGTCAAGAGGGACCATTCCCTGGAGAAGGATATCATGCTTGGTAAGGTGGAGGATTGACAAAAGAGGGGAAGGCCCTCATCAAGATGGCTTGACACAGTGGCTGCAGTGATGCACTCAAGGATAGCAAGGATCATGGAGCTGGCACGGGACGGGCGGTGTTTCATTCTGCTGTGCATAGGGTTGCTATGAGTCGGAGACGACTCGACAGCACCAAATAACAACAACAAAAGTAAAAAAGAAATGCAAACAGGTATATTTAGAGAAATGTCATCATTTCCTGTATCCATTCTTGCATTCCTCAGTCTTCCCAACTTCCTCTTGTAGGTAATCAACTATATCATTTTCTTTCCCTTGTTTCATTTCATAAAGGTGAGTATCTATCTCTATCTATTGTTTTTCCTTATTTTCTATTCCTTCTTATCCAATAGGTAGCATACTATATATACTCTTTTTCCTTTTTAATTGTCACTTAACATTATATATTGGAAATGCCTCCATGTCATTTTATGAAAATCTGTTTCATTTCATTTACAGCTATTTGCATCATATTATATACCAGTTTTTAAAATATCAGTTTATAGTATATACTTTAATCTATTTAACCTTTTAAGCTTGAATGTTTAGGTGTTTTCAAAATGGTTTGCAATTATGAATAATGCTGTAAAGAATGCCATATGCATATGTATTTTGATTGCTTTGTCTATGAATAAGTATTTTTTCCACAAATAACACACCCATATATATAATGTGAGTAACATACTTAGGAAAATAATGCTTAAGGGAGTTACATGGTTAGCAAAAAACATATAACACACTCTTTATTTGCATAAAAATAGAGTACTAACCTAAAGTATAAATAACCTAAGAAAACTAGAGACTAATATAAAATATATTTTTTATCTAGAAATAGTGATGAAATAATGGGATAGATTCAATATCCATCAATTAAAACTGTTCTCACAATTTTCATATGAGATGTAACTGTAGTACTTTTAACTTTATAAAAATGAAAGTAAATGCTATCATACATTTGTTATAAATTTGCAAGCTAAAGATTTCACAATAGATCTGCTTCTTTATTTATTGGACTTACTGTATCTCTTTATGTAGCTCTTGATGAATCATCAAACGGAAATATCATACCTCAGTATGCAGATTCAGTATTAAAAACCCAAATGAAAGTGAAGAAACAAAGTACTTCCAGAGAGGAAAAACCCAATAGTAAGTATAATGATTTGGAGCTCTGGTGGTGTAGTGCCTAAGGCATTTGACTGCTAACCAGAAGGCTGGTGGTTCAAACCCACCAGCCACTCCTTGGAAGGAAGATTGGGCAATCTACTTCTGTAGTGACACTGCCTCGGGAACCCAACGAGGGGTCGCTCTGAGTTGGATCCGACTCGACAGCAGTGAGTATAATAATTATAGATATCTGAAATTATTTCACATTAAATTTGCTGGATGATCTCTTTTCTTTGCTTCATGAATATGTATTTGAGCATTTTTTTAATAAAAATTTTAACCTTTGACCTGAAATGAGAATATGTGCAGGTAACTATTTGTTTGATATCTTTTGATTGATGTTTGCATGGTTAATGATTAGTGATTATCAAGACTGTTTCCATACACACTCATAAAAACTGTTCACATGATTTTCGTATTTTATCTCCAGGCTCTAACTTACTAAATAGTTCATTGCTCTAACTTTACAGTCCCTGTCCTTTAATTTTATACAAATAAGAGGAAATTATGCTGAATACTTGCCATATCCAGAAGTTTCATGATAGATCTGTTTCTCTATTAATATTTCTTCTTGAAGCTACCGAAAAGAACATTATAGTGGCTGAAAATCTGTTGCCTATGCATAAAGTTTTGAGTTCCAGAAGCCCATCTCAAGCTGAGAAAGTTGAAGCTATCAAAAGTAAGAGTATATACAATAAGTGATTAGCTTTAAATCTTTTAAAATTATGTCTAATTCAGGAAAGTTTTGTTCTTTGGCTCATGAATATGTTTTCAGCCATGTGCTTCTTTTGGTATTTATTTAATTCATACTTTTAGATTTTTGTCAGTAATCTGTTTGCTTATAATTCCTGGGTTAGATGTTTTAAATCTCCCACTATGATTATGGATTTCTCTATTTCTTGCAATTTTGTCATGTTTTCCTTTATGTGTTGTGAAGCTTTATTATTTACATGTACATAAATTTAAAATTAATTATCTTTCTGGAGGACAGAAACTATTTGTCCTAATGAGGGAACCCAGCTCATTGTTTTTATAGTTCTGTTTATTCATTTGTTTGCTTTAAAAACTATTTCACGTGGTGGATAATTGCATTATACAATTTTTCTTTTGATCCTTTCACTTTTCCTTTTAATTTTATTTGATTCATTTTTTCTCCTGTTCTACCCATTACTGAAAGATGTTTACTGACTTCTCCCAGTATAATTGTGGATTTATCTATTTCTTTTAGTTCTATCATTTTTTTTCTTACACTATCTATGTTATACAAAAAAACAAACTCACTGCCATCGAGTAATTCCAAATCATTGTGACCCCCTTTGGGTTTCCGAGGTGGTAAATCTTTATGGACCTGTATTGCCTAGTCTTCCATCTGCAGCATGGCTGGTGGATTTGAACTACCAACTTTCTGATTAGTAGTCAAATGCCTTAGGCACTACGCCCCCAGAGCTCCTTATCTACATCACTAGGTGCATACAGATAAAACATTTACATATTCCTGGTGAACAGAGGAAAGGGACCATCTTAATCTCTAGTAAGGTCCTTTGATTTAGAGCCTATTTTGTCTCACATTGACATAGTTATAGCTGACTTAAATTGGTTGGTATTTACATGATATGTCTTTTTTTCATCCATTTGCTTTTCACCTTCCAATATGCTTATAGATATATTCTTTTGAAATCAATTGTGAATGTCTTTGTCTATTCCTAGGACATAATCCATATACAATTATTGAAATTATTAATATATTTGGGTTTAAATATTTCTTTTGAGTGTTTTCTATTTTTCCCACCTGATGCATGTTTCTTACTCTTTCCTTTATTTGTTTATTTATTATTTTAGTCCTTTATTCATTTATTATTTAATTATATTTTTTAATCAGTTCAATATTTAAATCAATCATATATTATAAAAGTTGCAAACCTTTTGTAATGTGAATACACTTAGAAAAATAAAGTCTAATTTCAACTTCATTAAGTGTATATGTGGAGTAATAAGAGTGTATCCAAATACTTTTCAGTTAAGTACTCCTAAAGTTATTACACTTTCATTCCATTTTGAAATTGTACCAGAAATATTTTTTGTCACTTATTTAAGTTGTAGTCATGGAGTCATTTCCTTAAATTCTTATAAAAATGAGAGGGAACTTGGGTGGTTTTTTGTATGTTTCAGTAAACCAGTCTTCACAATAAATCCATTTCACTTTTCAGTGGATTAAAAACTTCTCTTTTTGTAGGTGAGAAAGTGTACGAAAATCTTTCACCTGAAGATAAAATTTTAATCTCAAAACACCCACCTCAAAGTATGAAGCTTGGAACTACTAGAATAGAGGGACCAGATAGTAAGTATAATTATTGAAAATATTCTGTAATAACTTTTAATTATATTTATTTCCTTGGTTCACAAATATATATTCATTGATATACTCCATAAGGCAAATTGACAAATGGTGGTGGTCATGTCTTTTTAACGTCATTGAAGTTCCCTTTGTTTTTTCTATCATTAGTGAGGTAGGTATTTTAAATTCTTCTACTAAGATAGTTTATTTCTCTATTACTCCTTGTAGTCCTATCAATTTTTGTTTTATGTTTTCCAAAGCTTTTTCATTATATATACACAAATTTTAAATTGTTATTATCTTCTTCATGAGCTGAAGCTGCTGTCTTTATGATGGACATTTTGTAGTAACTTTTTTTTGCCTTATGGTCTATTTTGTCTGATGTGAAAATGGTAAGTACATATTTCCTTCATTTAGTATTTGCGTAGTATAATTATTCCCTCCTTCTACTTTAATCTACTGTATTATTATGATTTAGTTATGTATCTTGAAAATGAACAGAATTATAGTTTGTTATTTTTTGAATACAATGTGACAATCTCTGTTTTAAACATGAACATTTACAGTTAATGTAAGTACTGATATCTTGAGGGTAAATATACCATCACATGTGTTTTCTATTTTTCTTTATGGTTCTGTCTCCTCTTTAAAAAATATCTTGAATATTTTATCATTTATTTTTTTCTCATGATCTGTTATAAAAAGGGAGCTCTGGTGGCATAGTGCCTAAGGCATTTGACTGCTACCCAGAAGGCTGGCGGTTCAAACCCACCAGCCACTCCTCAGAAGGAAGGTTGGGCAATCTACTTCCATAGTGATACTGCCTCGGAAACCCAAGGAGGGGTCGCTATGAGTCAAAATCGGCTCAACAGCAGTGAGTTTGGTTTTATTATAAAACAAAATATCTAATTAATTCTAAAATGTGAATACCCTTATATAACTAAAAATTAGTTACTTAATACTTTGGTATGACAAGTCTGTTTCTATGTTCTCTTGAAAAAAACTCTGTGATAATTAAGGTTCTGTGTGGGCTTGGCTGGGCCATGGTTGTGAGTGCTCAGCAGCTGGATGCAGTTATTCCCCGTGATGAGACTGGAATCATTTCTATGGTGGACTATGCTGTGAGCAGCTAATTGGTTGCCTTCAGGGTATGGACTACTTCCAGTATATATGGGGAAACTTTAAGGAAGGTCTCTAGCTTTTGGCACATCTGGATCCTGCATTTGGCCAAGTCTTCATCTCAATGGCCTGCCATATTGCCTGCTGATCTTGGATTGTTCCTGGACCTGAATCCGTGGTCTGCCATATTACCTACCGATCTTGGGACTGTGCCATTTTACCTGCCAACCTTGGACTCATTAGCCTCAACAGTCAGCAGCTATCTGAGCTAGGAGACATCTCTAACTCTAGTGGGTCTGGAATTAAGAGGCAGAGCTTAAGCCCAAGGTCAAGGGGCCTTCTTCACCCAGCCCCTAGCACTGGCACTCTGAATTTGGATCTCTAGCCTCCTAAACTATAAAGAAAAATTCCTGTTTGTTAAAGCTATCTACTTGTGGTATTTCTGCTATATCAACATTAGAGAACCAAGACACACTCCTGTTATTTTTATGGTTCCTGTACTCTATAATTCACTGTCTCAATAAAATGGTTATTTGATTATATAATTACAAAATATGAGAGGAAATATTACTGGACAATTGAAATATATTTAAATTATAGAGGTGTTTCAAAAAATGTTTCTCTATGTAATGGATTGGAAGCTCTGGTGGTATAGTGCCTAAGGCATTTGACTGCTAACCAGAAAAGGCTGGCAGTTCAAAGCTATCAGCCACTCCTCGGAAGGAAGACTGGGCAATCTACTTCCATAGAGATACTGCCTTGGAAACCCAAGGAGGTGTTGCTATGAGTTGGAACCAACTCGACTGCAGCGAGTTTGGTTTTCTTGTATTTAATGGATTAAAAGTATCTTTCATATAGCTCAGAGGTTGGGTGAGGCATTTTATGAAAATCTTCTATCCAAGGATAAAGTTTCATTCTTGAAAAGCCAATCTCCAAATAAAAAACATGAAGCTATAAAAAGAGAATTACATAGTAGTATGATCATTTTCTGTATCATTGATTTATTTTTAATAATATAAACAGAACTTGGTTCTTCAGTTTATAAATCTTGTAGTACAATATCTTGCAAGTGTTGTCTTGACTCAGTTTTGAGATCATCCATCACACTAATTGAACTCTCTTCATATGGAAGGAGACATGGGGTGTGGGGGAAGAGTGTGTGCCCCATCTCATACTCCTCAGTTTTTATTTTCATATCTCATTGTATCTTACTATTAAACTGAAAGTCAACTAGATATGTAATTATCTCCCACCACGATAGTCAGTTTCTCTATATATGCAACTAGCGTAAAGCAATTTACCATCGTGGGCTGAGTACATGCCAAAGGGACATAAACACCCTTCTGGTGGATAGTTCAACCAAAAAAAACCAAACACACTGCCATCAAGTTGATTCCTATTCAGAGCAACCCCCACCGGGTTTCCAAGGCTATAAATCTTTACAGAAGTAGATTACTTCATCTTCCTCCCATGGAGCAGCTGGTGGGTTTGAACCACCACCAACAATCAATCTATCAAGAGAGACCTGCTACCTTGTTCATGAAATTGTTTCTCAAACACAAACTACTACTTTGAGAATTTGGGGTCCACTGTAAATGGTAATCAAAATTTTGTTCCCAAAAAGCTCTATAATGAGCCAAAGCAATATTATATAAATAAACTCCATGGCTACTCTGTTCCAAAATTAAAATGTCACAATTTTTCTACTACCTATCCTAACACATGTTATGCCAGTTGTCCAATAATCAACTATCTGAGATTCTTAAATGATATTAAATAGCTTTTAGATAGCCTGATAATAACTAGCAAAACTATTGTATTGATACCTCCATGTTAACAATAAAGTCCCAACATAGAAATATCTTAAATTTAAAGTTCCTTCCATGATCAAATTCCCAGGGAAAAATGAAAGTTCAAAGATAAAATATCCTGACATTAAAGCCCAAGGAATAAAGAGGAAAGATAAATTCACTCCCATTATCAAACTGTTAGAGAGAAATTAAATACTAAGATTAAATTTCCTTGCAAATTAATGCTGAAAGACATACAAGTTTACAGTGTTTTAAAGTTCAAAATCCGATTATCTTTCCTTGGTGAGTCTTGGAAATCCAAAGATATAACTAAAATATTGTATAATCGACTAACCCAGAGCCAATCTTCAACCACATGATGAAGATTTATGCTTGATGTTGTAGGATAAATAGCATAAATCCAAGGTCAATGCTTCAATAGTTCCCTCCTGAATCTTGAAGTAGAATGGAATTTGGGATTGATGATCTAGACCAGTTTACCTTTACTTGAAGGTGATAATTTAAACTCAGAACCAAATCTGTACTCTACAGCATGTCTAAAACTTGTGTGTCTTACAGTTTCAAAGAGGATGTTGTTTTGTCTTATACATACGCACTGCCGTTGAGTGAGATCTGACTCATAGACACCCTTCCTTGGGTTTCCAAGGTCATACCACTACGGAAGTAGATTGCCCAACCTTTTCTCTAAAATTGAATCCTTAACTAAGTCTCATCTACCTTACAGCAAGCACAGCATCCTTTACACTAAGTCTATATATGTATTCTTAAAGCATGAATCTTTATTGAGTTTAGAATGTCCAGCATTTGCTTGCTTGACATAATGTTGCTTTTGCCTGTTAGGACCAATCACATGGCTCACATGCTTTTGAAAATGTCCATGTAGTCCTTGAATATTTGCCAGTGCCCAAGAGGTCTTTGCACTTTTGTCAATGCCCAAGTAGCTCTTAGACCATTCTGAGATGTTTAAGGATGAGCAGTGCAATACTGCCTCTCTGGAAATTCACCCCACGTGGACAGATCTTCCGTATGCTGCTTTCCACAGGAAAGATGAAAATACATTTGCACTTGCTTTAAAGCTTTCCTTCAGACTCTGAAGGTCAATAGCCGGTTGTGCAATTGTAAAAACAAGTGTGTCCATAACATTAACCTCTGTATTAGTGAAGTAGATTAAGTTATTTTGAGTAACAAACAATTGTAAAAGCTTAAAACGTTCTTTTCTTTTTGTTTTTTGTGCAAAACTTTGGCCAACAAAGTCCACTGTTGATATAGATGAGGCAACTCTCCAGGGCTGACCGGAACCTATTAGCAGTTTTTATTTTTTGGAACTTCCCTATTAACAAGTGTTTCCTTAATCACTACAGCAGGAGAAGAAGTTCACCACACAGAAAATGAAACTCTTTCTTCTAACATTACTGACAATACCTAACTTCATGGGAACAAGGAAGTAGAATCTTCTCAAATGGCTGAGTACATGCCAGAAAATCTAACAGAAATGTTGATAACTAGAAGTAATGTCTATCACACCTATATACTCCAAAAATGTTAAAATGCAGAAATTCCAACTCAAATCCACAATCTCTGACAATCATAGAGGACTCATACTTTGTGTATTATTTCTCCCCTAAATCTAATTTTTAAATATTTCTCAGTTTTCCCAGCCAATGAACCAAATCTTAATTCTTTTCTTCACTGATCTGACATTCCTCCAAAAAACCAGACTCTTCATGGGGCAGAGCCTCTGCTCATGTATAAAACTACATCATTTATTCTCTCTTTTTGCTTTGTAGATATCATCATTTACAAATTGACATTTCTAATTCCCTATTTTCAGTCTTGTTGTTGTAGTTGTTGTTGTTATGTGCTGTCGAGTCAGATCCAACTCATAGCTACCTCTTCTTAGGTTTCCGAGGCAGTATCACTACGGAAGTAGAGTGCCCCATCTTCCTTCTGAGGAGTGGCTGGTTGGTTTGAATCTCCAGCCTTCTGGTTAGCAATCAAGTGCCTTAGGCACTACTCTACAGTCTTGGAGGTTTATTTTATTTTTGATACTTCTATATTTGGGTTGATTTCTAG